TTTAGAGTTAGTACAACTATTCTCTATTTGTTCATATTATTATGTTTTTGATAAAAATCCTTTCACTAAAATGCCATCAGAACGCTTTTAATATTAAGTGTGTCTCAGCCCCCCCTTCAGTGTCCACCATATTGGATCAGTCCATTTGCTGCACATTTTCAGAAAGGTCCAAACAGGCAGCAGCAAACCATTAGAAAACAAACAATGCAAAGAGCAGTGTTGCCAACTTAGCGCTTTAGTCGCTATATTTAGCCACTTTTCAGACCCCTCTATTACTTTGATTTCTAAAAAGCTCCTAGCGCCAAATCTAGAGACTTTTTTCTGCTACTGGAGACTTTGGAGACAACATCTAAAAGCAGCGAACTCTGCTCTCCAGAGCAAGTAGATTGGTAACCCCGCCTCCTGCTCTCCTCTATCTTGTCTGCTGTCATGATTCATGCAGCTATTATTTCATCCAAATGAAAAATGGAGAACAGATAAGCAGATCATGGCTTGTCTACAGTGAAAAGAAGGACTGGGTTATTTACTTTGGCCTTTTTGGAAACACAGGAAGGAGCAATCAGCTAAGTGAGCTTAGTGCTTGGAAAAAATCTTTCATTCCTTTAGAGACTGCATGAAAAGTCAGCTGAGTACAAAACATAGAGAGGAAAACAAGAAGAAAAGGGACAAGAAGGGAGGGACACAACCTAGAACAGATAATGGATGTCTATTCTATTAACATTTCTCTATCTGGAGAATGGGTCTGTTTTAAGTGTTGCCTTCTCAGTTCAGAGGGGCCCCTGCCTGTCTTTGCCTGGGGCCCCAAATTTCCTAAATCCCCCCCTGAATGGAGCTGTTAGGCTAAAAAAAATCAGGTCTCAAAAATCCTGGATCAAAGACCAACATGCAGAACAAATGTTATGAGAATGAAGGGTTTTATGTCAGGAGAGACAGATGAACAGGAAGGTAAATGGATACTGATAAAAGGATCCAGTAAAATGCAATGTCTAACAGTGAACTTAAATACTGAGGGAAAAGTGGAGAATGACATATAATGCAGGTGATGGAAACTGTAGGAAGAGAACTAATTAAAAAAGAGACAGGTGAGTAAAACACAAGGAATAATTTACAGTAATGGCCATTTAAAATGTTCCCACTTTCCTTGGCTGGTCCCCTAAAATTCCTTTTTAAACATCAATCTTTGTTCTGAAATATTCTTTCTGTCATGATTTGTGGACATTAAGATCTAAAGAGAAGCTTCATCCCCTGGTCAGAGCCTGTAATTCAGTGAAATGGCGGAGTCAGAGTAAAAAAATATGCATGCCCAGTAGAGGGCCAGTGGCTGGAAGTTGGAGGGGATTCTGCTGGGTTTTGACTGGGAAGGGCCATTTTGAATAGCTGCTACTGTACCAGTGGGAATAGAGAGACACAGACCTAATTGAATGCACTTAAATACACAGAGAGCAGATGACAGAAAGTAAGGCACTGAACCTAAGGGAATGAAAGACCTTCTTACACCAGTGACTGAAACCAAACTGATAAAAACAGAGACAGACAAAACCACAAAGCTCAACTACCTAAGGATCTTCACACTGTCCTTATGGGGGTTACTTCAAGAGGAGGAGCGAATTGGTACAAAAACACATTTTCCCCTCATTGTCTGAGCAGACACCCTTACACCTAACTGCTGCTAATCTAAGCTCGCTCTGCATAGCAGGTATCATTCTGAACTGACTGAGATTTGGGAAACAGTTCAGCTCCAGCAGCTCTCCTGTTATTTTTGCAAATAAATCACTGTAACCTGCTGTTCAATGGCAGCTTCGTCCACCCCTCTGCCTCTACATCATTAGCATAGCGTGGGAGCCAGAACTGATTGAGTGGCCAGTTGGCAGTTGGAAGAAATATCCTTTTAATTTCTTTATCCGTGTTCTATGTTTGCAAAATGAAATGTAAAAAAAAAAAAAAAAAAAAAAGCATAAATATCCACCTCTATCTTTGATACATAGTGATGTAATCTCAGCTTTTCATAATCTTACATTAAACAAATGTGTCCAGCAAAAATAAAAAACACAGAGAAATTAAAACCTTAAACATACGTGACTACACATTAAATCACACCACTTGAATTCACATAGCATAGACCAGCTTAGCCTGTAATGGTTTACATAAATATTATTTAACATCAGGAAATATAATGCAGATGAAGTATATTATGCAGAGAATCACAAATAAACTGCCAGGAGCAGCATGTTTCTGTCTTGTTTTGATTTTACTTCTTTCCTACAAAAACCACAAAGTTCAGGATTCAACATCAACTGATGCTGAGAAGTCTGTGTTCTGATTTTTATTTTTTTTGCTATGATGCATCTGTAGGAGATTGTTGTACTGTATGTGTAAATGATTTGACCTGCAGAAGCTGGGAGAAACAGGAAGCAGAGGTAAAGGTGTTATCAGGCAGTAAGAGTGGCAGCCATTCAAAATATCCCCACTTTCCTTGATGGGCCCTTGGCTGGTCCCTTGCAATTCCTTTTTAAACATCAATCTTTGTACTAAAATAATCTTTCTATCATGATTCGTAGACATTAAGGTCTAAAGAGAAGCATCATCCCCTGTAATTCACTGAAAGGGTGGGGTCAGAGTAAGAAAATATGCAAGAGCATATTGCTGGGAGTTGCAGAGAAGTGGGTTGCCATTTGTCTGGGAATGACCATTTCTAATGGCTGCTACTGTCAGTAATCCAGTTGTAAAACAAAAAAGAAGGGGAGTGGTGGATTTTTTTTGGAAGCATACATAGCCTAATTAATATATTCTATTAACCTAAAGCATTATGCATGGTCTGGTTGTAACATGTCAGGTACGCCGATCATTAACCTTGACCAAGGAACCTTACAGTAGAACAGCAGTCAGTCCCTGGACTGCCATGGCTATCACTGCCCCTTTATAGTTAGGTAAAAATGATAGGACAAATATCCCACTAAGAGCTTCATATGGTAGGCCACTTCTTTAATTTTATTTATTTTGCTCAGGCTAATCGTAAGCCCACAGCACGCAAAATGTTGGAAGGGTAATATTATTGCCATTACTGTTAATATATGGTAGACTTTTTACACATTCAGTAATAAAATGCCACAGGGCGATGGTCATTTAAGAAGGGGGATGATTTTTAAGATTCTTTTTAAGAAGGGGGATGCCATCCCCCCTCAACTCGAGTACTGGCTACTGTACTGGAGGATCCAGCAGTCAGTGAGAGCAGGGACTGAAGGACAGCAGGACTCAGCGGAGGCCTCACAGACACATCAGATTGGGCTGGTTGAGTCTCACAGGGGTCATGGTGCAGGTTTGCATTCCTCCTTTGACATATTAATATATTTGATTATATTTGATATTAAAACAATAAATCAGAAGGGAAAACAGAAGAGATGCTAATCTAATCTCATTAAGTCAGAGCTGACATCCTGTCGCTATGAGTTAGATCCGAGTCATGGTTTTCCTCTCTGCATTTGTTTGGTCAAAACTTCAGTGGTTTCTCTGCTGTTCAAACTAAAACACATTGATTAAAATAGTTAAAAGTCAAATGTTAGGATCCACTAAACTAGATGCTCTGTAATCTGTTAATCTCTTCACTGTTTCTTAAAAGACAAAAAAGGGAGTTGGTCTTTGTGCCAAATTGAATCAAATAATTAAATTAAATTAGTGTTAATTTTTGTTTTTATTGAAAGTTATTGTTTAATAATTCAACAAATGACTAATAATGAATGTGATGCACTCATCCTTGGAAGGAGTTAAAGATTAGGGTTATGGTAAAGAACATTTTGATCTTTCAAGACTTGAATCTTATGACCAAAGACGGGTCCTTAAAATACCAGAGGAAACGTTTAAAAAGCTGCTTAGCAATAACAGAAAAGGGTTATTTGAAAATTATTATCAGGTTAAAAGGTAAATAAAAAAACTGAAAATTAATTTTCTTTTATATTTATTTTTTGAAGAATCCCTCGTCTGGAACAAGCATCTTTGTTGAATTAAAACTAGATAAAAAAAAAAAAAATCAACTGGTAGGTGTGAATACTTTTGACTGTACTTTCAACTTCCTGTCATGCTTTATTTGAATGAAGATTCTGGATATTTTTGTATGTAATAGAGTGTAAAAGATTACCACAGAATTAGTAAATTAGTGATTCACATCTGTTGGACATATTTTTTCTCTCTATACTGACAGTACAATTAATTATACTTTATTTAATAACAGATAAAACAAATTTTTCTAAAGACATTAAATCAGATTGTTTTTATTTTTAAGAAATAAGGAATATATTTTTTGCTATATAAGGTAAAGACTAAAGCTAATTAATAAATTCCTAAATGGAAAATAATTCAGTGGCCTTCAGTTGTATATTTTGGTTCCAGAATAAACTAGAGCAATAATTTAATAAAGGATAGAAATAAAAATGGTAAAGAATTGGTGTTGCTACCTTAAAGACCTTCACCAAGTACTGTGGGGCATAAAGAAGGTACAACATAATTAAATCTAGGGGTAATAAAAAGGCAATCATACTGCAGTGGAGGTGGTTCCTGAGTGGGACAAAAACACTGAGAGGGACACTGATCGCTAAATGTAATAAAAAGGTTTGATGGAAATAGGAGAAAAAAAGAATATGTTTAAATGCACAACCTGACCAACGTCATTAAAGATTTTCCCCAGAAAGTGAGAAATGAGTCTGTCCTCTGTCCTATACCTTCCACAGAGGTTAGTTTTACATTAACCAAAGTTAAGGTGAGGAGGTGAAGCTCAGGCTCTGGTTCCTCCTCTATAAGCAGAGGAGCTGCTCCATTACCCGGCTTTGGGTTGGTATGGCTTCCCTCCAGCCTCCCTAGCCTGGTTCTCCGCTGCGGACCTAGATGTGCCGCAGACCCGTCCCCTGGTTTCTCTCTGATAATCTAATTAATTCTCGGGTCTACCTTAAAAATCAGGCAGGGTGATCCCGGCCTGGCCCCGCCCCTCCCTGAGCTGGTGGGGGAGTCGCTTCTCCGGCACTTTTCCCGGGTCTCCTTCTGGATGTAGACGGTGTCGGAGCCCACCGAGTCCAAAACCACCCAGCACCGCCGCGAAGAGTCTTAATTCACCGGGTCCGAAGCACCAGGAAAGGGGAGGTGACTCTGAGCGCCCCTCCTTAAACGCTCTTTTTCTGGATCCGGTTGGTTTTCCTCTCCAGGACCAGAGTCTGGTCTCCCTGAAAGCAGCCTCTGTTGAAGGAACTGGTTTAACCATTTGGACGCAGAGCAGCCCGGAGCTCCTCCGCCTCCCTCCACCTCCCTCCCTGCCACACGGTCAGTCGGAGGTTCCTCCACCCTTATCGCCCTGTTGGGAGATGGACCAGCTGCTCTGAGGACGTTTCCACGCGGTTCGGAATCGGTAGCAGGACGTGATTTGGACCAAGACTCTCCTGTTGAAGGTACCGTCTAATTCCTGCGTTCTTAAACTTTATGCGCATTCTGCTCTTTTTGTTGGAGTCCACTTGTAGCTGAAGGAGCTGAACTCTCCCATGTTTTATTTCTTAGTTTTATTCTATATAATGTTTTTTTTTAATGTGTTCTGTTTGTTTCGCCGAACCGGAGCCAATGAACCGCTGTTTTCGGCTCTCCTCCCGGTTATTAGCCGCTGTGGGTTATCCACAGGTGTGCGGACGGGCTAATCCACGGAGAACCGCTGTAACATTTATCTGCCGGATGTTTTTGATCTCAGTTGTGTCTCTCGCAGCCTCCCGGCTCCCGTTTCTCCACCTTTCGGTCGGTTCGCTCTGTTCGAGCCGCGGTTCATGCCTCCTCCATCCGCAGTCTGTGCGGACAGCCCTCCGTGGAGCCCTGCGGCTAACTGCTGCTGAAACCAACCAAAAAACGAGCCTCCCATCCTGCCCGCCTGGCTTCACCCTCAAACTGGATCAGCTGTGACCAGAAACCGTCGATCTGCTGTTATTACTTGTATTAAAACTTCCGCTAAGTGGCCACTTTACACCCCCCCCGCATTGGGCTGTGATTATTTGCTGAACTTCCCTTTTTTTTATAGATAAATTATTTTTTTTGTGTCCAAGCGACCCGCCGAACCAAAGAGCATTTCCCAGTAAAACCAGTAACCTCATCTCTCCAAGATTGATCCTAATGGCTCCCTGTCAGCAGGGATGGGGGGTTAAAAGTGGCGCATTGTGAATGGCGCTGCGGATGTTTCCGAGTGTCTGGAAACAGTTTGCAGGAGTCTGTTTTCTCTCCCCCTGGTAACCGACAGAGTGGCTCTGCATCAGTAGGAAAACATGGCCTCTGGTGGCTCTGATTAAAGCCCAGCTTCTTTTTTTTTTTCTTTCCCACCAGTGAACACTGGTTGCTGCTTGTTCTGCAGCTCAGAACAAACTGGGTGTATTTGTGCTGCTCTCTCTCGGTTGCAATGCGTGCCGCTCATCTGGGTGAGCTTGTCGGGCTTGTTGGAGTGGTTTCCCAACACAACGCTGCTGCTGCGGTGAAGGTGGAAAAATCGTTTTATTCTAATTAACGGAGCTTTAGCGCATAAAGAAACGTCCTGACGTCATTTCTCTGATGGGTGGATGAGGCTGTGCTCCTTTTCCTCCTTCTCTCATTCCTCCCACCTCCTCCCCTCTCTGGCTGGGTGTGTCCCGCCTTGTTGCGTTAGGAGGGAGGGGGGGGATCCCGCATCTCGGCTCTCTGACTCCTCCTCAGCCTGTGACCTCCATTGGAGGGCATTGCTCCTTCAGTTTTTCTGCTGCCCAAAACCCATCAGCAGAGATGCTGGCTGGGCAGCAGAACTGAAAGCCATGCACATTTGAATTGGATTTGAATGTTTATTCAGACTGTGAAGTATGAGCTGGCTTAGTGGGGTGATGGCCCAGCAGCTGCCCAGTCCAAAGGGGGGAAAATGGCCTGTTTTTATATTTTTCTGGTTCTTTGCCAAAGGATTTCTACATGCATACTCTCTGCTGAGTTCCCCAAATGTTGTCCTCCTGTTTATAACCAGGAGAGATGGGGATGCTGATGTCATGCTGGAACAGAAAAAAAAGTAGGACGTTGATTATTTGAGTTATTTGTTATTGTCCTTAGTTTTGCCACACAAGGGCCTCATGATGTCCCACCTGTAGAATGAAAAAACTACTCAACAGAAATTGTACTCATAGGAGAACAAAGGTGCAGGAAAATCATAAAATTCATCCAAATGTCAGAATCCTCACATAGAATCCTAAAAAAATATCAACCAGTTACACATGATGATCACTGGGAGATGGTCAACATGTAATAGAGCGGCTTTTTACCTGGATTTGTTCCCAGATATTAATCAAAGGCAGCTGTAAACAGGTGGGTCTTCTGTTTGGATTTAAAGAAGTTCAAGATCAGATGAGACGTTTTATTTATCTCTTCTAGAAGGCAGAGCCCAAAAGGCTGACTTCCTCTAAAGCTTTTAGTCTTGAAGGGTTAGATAATCCTTCTAAAGCATGAGGTCTGTTAACCACAAATGGAGAAAACTGGGAATGCAGACTGGCTGACCAAAATGCTTCCCATAGATGACTCCACCTGGAGGTCAGACAGAACATCTAAATCGCTCAGCTAAGGTCAGAGTTCATGATTCAGCAGAGGGAGAGGAGACTGGACATCTCAGGTACTGAGAAACTAGACATTCAGCTTGGTTGAACTGCTGCTGACCAAACAGGACAAAAGGCTCGTCTCCTACTGACCAATAGCACGGCAGGATGATTCATGGAAGGCTAATGGAGGAATAGTTGTTTTGACGTAGTGTTGGGAGTAGGCATGGAGCGGTTACCTGTTCCAGGGTGTGAAACAGTCCTGCAGTATCATGGAGTTATAAATAAATCAACACAGATTCAAAGTGATTCCCCCCACCCGCCAAATTTTCAAGGGTAGGACTAATGATGGCGACAGTACTGCCTGATTTGGACTTTATCAGAATTTGTTACAGTCTGGGTAAATCTGATCCCTAACATGACTGTTATTGTTTTCTGATCATTATTAGCAGTGGACGCGGCAGAAGAGCTGGTTTCAGACGGACAGGCTCTTCTTGTCAGGGTGTTTCATTCTGAAGGATTCTTTAAATTATTTTCAGTTTTGTTTTTTCTTTTAAGTCGAGCCAAAGAGGCTCAGCCATCTGCTTCCTGCTGCTTCTCATTCACCGACTCTAGTTAATAAATGATGTCCTGAACGGTAGCTCCTTCACACCTCCTTTCCCCCTGAAGGTAATGTTGTTTTGAACTTGTTTTTTATGAAGTTAAGCAGCGGTTGCTTCGGGCTAGCCGGCCTAGATTTGATAACCACAGCTGAAAAGATTAGTGGATTGATCTCTATGAACGCTGTGACCAGCGTTTGCTTCAAGGCCAAACCAAAGCTGCACTTTTCAAGTCTACCTTCATCAGAGGCTGCCCTTATTATCACGAATCAGTAAATAGTGTAGAGGACTAAAGGCAGAATAGTTATTTCTAACTGAGGTGAACATTCTCCTCCTTTATCATTTAAAATGAAATCAGATCTCTTTAATGCTGTTTTAAAACATCATCTGATTTTTGAAGTTGATTTCTTAAACTTTTAATGCATTCAGCTTCGTCTCTGCTCATCATTTGGCTGCACTCATACGATCAGTCTGCTAAAAGTTTGTGCAACATTTGTGTCTGAAGCGATATGCCAGGACTTCTTATTAGATTAGAAACTCAAACAGTGGTAGGGCGCACAGATAAGCGCCTGTTGGTGAACAGTTAGCAGCTCTGCTTCATCTGTTCTTGCTTATTTGTAAATAAATCACTGTAGCATGCTGTCCAATGGCAGCTCCATCCACCATCATTAGCATAGCGTGGGAGCCAGAACTGATAGAGCTTCCAGTTGGCAGGTGGAGGAAAGGGGCCCGATTTTCTTTTATTGACTTTCTGAAGAACTCAAGAGAAAAAAAATTGATTGTTTTGGGTTTTATTATGATTCACCTGCAGGAGTTTGATGCATGTAATCAACATGAAGCAGAAGTAATGGTGCAATCCTGCAGTTACTGGAGCATCCAGTCAGTCAGAACTGCAGACTCCAGGGAAGCCTCAGACAGAAACAGAGAGGCTGATCATGTATCTCTATTTTTGCTCCGACATAAGCCCCATTTCCACTACCCTCTGAATACCGATCCGTGCCAAGCTTGGATCGGTTAACCGTGCTGAGCTTGGTTCCTCACGACCATTTACACACCACGCTAGCATGGTTCCTCGCCTCCTAGTGGTGATCTACCGTACAGCTGCTCTCTAGAGGTAAACAAACAAACCAACATGGCGGTGCCTGTAACATGTGGCACTGTATGGAAGCTATTATACGAATGTCTGAAGCTTCATGATTACGCAGGCTGACTGTAAGGAGATGATGGGCTCTGTGGTATCTGAGAACCGAGTCAGAACTGAACTGCGTCGAGCCCTACTGATGAACTAGTACCATGTTGGCGCGGTTTCAAAATGGTAGTGGAAATGGTGCTATAGATGCCAATTTATGCTGAGATAGTTAGCGCCTAGTTGAGGTACGAGTTAACCTGGCGGGTTGGTGACTTTACCTCAGAGGCAGGATGGACCCACAGACGGCTGGTCAGCTGAGATACTGGTTAGGATGTTAGTGGATCCTAAAGCAGTCAATGAAACAAGTTCTGGTACCATTTAGCTTAACAGGGAATGATTCCTATAGAAATCTGCAGGCTAAAGAGCAGCAGAGCTTTGGTTCTAGTTGTACGTGAATAATTGACTAAATGATTTTGGTTTCCTGCTTCGTAATGAGAAGAATGTTTAACCAGTTTAAAGCTGTGACTCACAGGACTTTGGGATCCAGTGCTGGATTTTCCATTTTCTATATAGAGCAGTTCAACATGTCCAGTTTTCCCTTCGGAAAGTGTCTGTGGGTCGATGCAGATCTGTGTGTTTATATCTATGTCCTTGTATACAGTATGAATATGAACAAGTCACTCAACTTGTCATGATAGCAAATATTCCTGAACAATTAATTATTATCACGATAAACAATAATATTGTTAAGAGACAATTTTTAACATAATAACACTTTATTTTCTAAAGTGGAAGGCATTTTCAAATCAATTAAACTATAAATAAAAGGGACTCTTGGTCTCTCTTAGCAAAAAATGCACCTTAATAAAAAACCTAAAAATTAAATAAATAATGTAACTAAAAAAACACAGAACCAAAGCCATAGATTAAAAGGATTCTGAAGTTTCTGTAAACTGCCCTCCAAAACAAATATGAATCGTTAGATTCAGACACGAAAACTGAGATAAAGACAGAGAAATGCAAAGCATGCTCAGGCTTCATTCTGTGATGCGTAATGAGACCATGAGATCAGCAAACACCTGACAAAAGGTCTGACTCCTCTACGCTAGGAAAACCAGGAGGGGAGGGCCGAGAGGATGCCGACA